ATAGAAGCCAGAGTCTTGTGAGACATTCTGTCTCACTCTATTGTTGTTTGTTTAACATCAATTTCACAGGATATGAGAACGGGAAGATTCACAAACCAACCATTACAACATGATCTGATGGAGTTGCCAGTTTTATCATAAATGGAACGTGATCCGATTTTGACATGGAAGGAAACAGCCCTGGAGAGAAACCATACACGTGTTGTGTGTGGACAAGGCTTCAGCCAATTATCAGGCTTCACAAACCACAAATGCAGTCATTCTGAGGAGAAACAATGGAAATGTGGGGATTGTGGGGAAGAATTCATTTCCCCACCTGAGCTGGAAACTCATCGACACAGTCACACCATTAATAGGTCATTCACCTGCTCAGTGTGTGGGAAGGGGTTCATTCAGTCATTTAGCCTGCTGCAACACCAGCTCATTCACACTGAGGAGAGATCATTTCAATGCCTGGACTGCAGAAAGTGCTGTAAAAGTTCCAGGACTGTTATGCCATCAATGCGTTCATACTGCAGACAAACCTTTTAAATGCTCAGACTGTGGACAATGTTTTAAAACTTCCAAGGAGATGTCATCCCATCAATTATCTCACATTAATGAGAGACTTTTTAAATGCCCAGACTGTGAAAAAAAAACACAGAGTTCACACATCTCAACAGCGATTTGATTTTGCAGTTCATCACATTCAGGACTGAAGGTAAAGTTTTAATATTTTGGATAAAACTCACGTCAATTAGCTATATGTCAAAAACAGTGTGGCAGATCATTGTAAGGATGTGATTACGGAGTACTTGGCAGAGTCGGCACGGCTCATCAAGAGGAAGTCATACCTGACAAATCTTGGAATTCTTTGAGGAGGTACTGAGCAAGTTAGGTAAAAGAGAGCTAGTGGAAGTGACCTGTTTGGATTTCCACATGACATTTGACAAGGTGTCACATGGGAAGCTGCTAAATAAGATAAGGGCCCGTGATATCGGGGCCAAGGTACTGACCAAGCTTGAGGATTGAGTGACTGGCAGGGCTCTTTTTCAGGATGGCAGCCAGTGACTCGTGGCATTCAGCAGGGGTCAGTGTTGGGACCACAATTATTCGCATTATTCATTAAGAATCTGGATAAAGAAATTGAAGGCATTGCTGCTAGGTTTGCAGATGACACAATGATAGGTGAAGGGACGGGTCATATTCATGAAGCAGGATGATTGCAGAATTGCTTGGACAGGCTAGGAGAGTGGACAAAGAAGTGGCAGGTGGAATACAATGAGGGAAAATGTGAGGTTATACATTTTGTTCGGAAAGCTAGAGGCATAGACTATATTCAAAATGGGGAAAGGCTTCAGAAATCTAAATCACAAAGGGACTTGAGAGTTCTAGTTCAGGATCACTTCGGGTTATAGTGCAGGTTCAGTTGTTGGTTAGGAAGGCAAATGCAATGTCGGCATTTATTTCAAGACAGCTGGAAAACAGGAGCAGAGATGTACTGTTGAATCTAAACAAGGCTCTGATCACACTGCATTTGGAATTTGTGAGCAGTTTTAGGCCCAGTATCTAAGAAAAGACGTGCTGGTGTTGGAGGGTGTCCAGAGGTGGTCTACAAGAATAATCACATGGATGAAGGACTTGTCATATGAGGATTGGTTGACGACTCTGTTCTTGATAGAGTTTAGAAGGATGGGGTGGGTGATGGGAATCTGATTGAAACTTACAGAATACTGAGGGACATGCATCGAGTAGACATGGAGAAGATGTTTCCACTATAGGAGAGACCAGTACCCGGGGGCACCACCTCAGAGTGAAGGGATGACACTTTAGAACTGATAGAAGGAGGAATTTCTTCAGACAGAGGGTGGTGAATTTGTAGAGTTAATTGACACAGAGAACTGTGGAGGCCAAGTCGTTAAGCGTATTTCAGGCAGCAATGGATGTTTTCTTGATTAGTGAGGGGATGAAGGGTAATAGGGAGAAGGAGGGAAAATGGTTTTGGGAAACATATCAGCCATGATTAAATGGCAGAGCAAATTTGATGGATTGAATGGTCTAATTCTGTTCGTCTATCTTATGGTATTTTGGTAATAGTTGACATAAAATTTGGTCCCTTTTGCAGTGCGTTGCATCTCCCCTGCGGTAGTAGTTGCTGTAGCCCCAGAGAACCATAGGACTGTGCTCTCACTAGAGAGAGAGAAAGAGAGATGACTCGTGCTGAGTTTAAATTTATGTTCCTATTTATGAGACCCGACTCCTGGTCCCTCTACCATGTTCCCACTAAACTGCTGACCATCCACCTCTCCCCGTGTGATGGATATTGTTAACAATTCTCTCTCTCTTCTGGTTCTGTCCGACTCACTGACAATTCCACCATCATCAACCTTCTTGAGAAAGACTGACTGTTCATTCTGCCATCTTTTCAAACTGTCCATCTCCAACCTCACTTTCATTGATGATTAAGAATTAGGGATCAAGTGTAGTGTGTCAATGATCGCAGATGACACCAAGATGAGTGGTAGAGCAAAGTGTGCAGAGGACACTGAATGTCTACAGAGGGATATAGATAGGTTAAGAGAGTGGGTAAGGGTCTGGCAGATGGAGTACAATATTGAGGTTATCCAGTTTGGTAGGAATAACAGCAAAATGGACTATAATTTGAATTATGAAACATTGCTGCATGCTGCTGCGCAGAGGGACCTGGATGTCCTTGTGCCTGAACCAAAAAAAAAAAATTGTATGCAAATGCAGCAGGTAATTTAGAAGGTAAATGGAATACTGACCTTCATTGATAAAGGAATGAAGTTTAAAAATAGGGAGGTTATGCAGCAGCTGCTAACGGTGCTGGTGAGGCCACAACTAGAGTGCTGTGTAAAGTTTTGGTCTCCTGACTTGAGAAGGGATATCCTGGCACTGGAGGGCGTACAGAGGAGTTTCATTAGTTTGATTCCAGAATTGAGATGGCTGATGAGAGGAGATTGAGTCGACTGGGACTATACTCATTGAATTTAGAAAAATGACAGTGGAGCTAATAAAATTATGAATGGAATAGATAAGAGAGAAGCAAGGATATTGAGTGGGTGGAACTAGAACTAGGGAACATTGTCTAAAATAAGGGAGAGCAGATTTAGGACTGAGTTGAGGAGGAACATCTTCTCCCAAAGGATTGTGAATCAGTAAATTCCCTGCCCAGTGAAGAATTTGAGGCAACCCCATTTAATGATTTTAAGGCAAAAAATTTCGAACAGTAAAGGAAATGAAGGTTATGGTGAGTGGGCAGTTAAGTGGAGCTGAATCCATGAAAAGATCACCCATGATCTTATTGAATTTCAGACCAAGTTCAATGGACCAAATGGCCTTCTCCTGCTCCTATTCCTTATGTTCCTCTCGAAATTCCCTGAACTTGGTTGTCCCTCAAGAATCTATCCTTAGCTCTGCTGTTATACCTTTTGTTATAATAGACACTAAGATGTATCCAATAACAGATGTTATGCTAACTGTTCTGCGGTTAACTTTTTTTCCCCCACATAAAGGTACTAAACTGGTAGTTTTCTAATCCTCTGGGACTCTTCCAACCTCGAAATATTCTTTTAAGATGACTACCAGTGCATGCACGATCTCAGAAGCTATTTCGTTTCATATCGTACGATGCAACCCACCAGATCCAGGGCTTTAATTGGTATTTAGTTCCATGAGTTTTCCTAATGTTTCATCTCCAATGATATTCATTGCATTTATTTCCTATCCTTTTTTTTGCCTTTTGGCTGTAAAACAATTTTGAAATGCTACGAGCGGCTTCTACTGTGAAGACTGACGTAGTGTATTTATTCAACTCTTCTGCCATTTCGTGGTTCCCCATTATTATTTTCCCAGTTCATTTTCTCAAGGGCCTGTGCTCACTAGATTTAGACAGGCAGATTTTTCTTTTTAATCTGTAGAGAAATTAAGGGTTATGGGAAATGGCAGCACAGTGGAGTTGATGATGATCAGATCTGCCACGATGGCCTACTCCTGCTCCAGCACCTTGTGGACGGCAGTGTTTTTAATACATGCTGGAAGCCCCTACAATTAGCAGAAAGCTGCTGCATCTAATTTGGATTAGATGTTCTCCTTGTGGATATTATCAGACACGAGCAATCATTCCAACTCACTCGATTCCTGTTCTTGTGGGAAGTTTTGTCGTTATTTGTACATCAAACTCGAAGCAATGTGACAATTTTCCACACAAGTGCGTGTGGCTCCATCAAACGGTGACTGTAACCAGAAGTGCAGCTTTTCCTGAATTTGGTAGAGACAGAAATCTGCCTGGGGAATTAAAACATTGCCTTCTGGGAGAGATGGCGTGGATTTGGAAGGAAACAATTCATTCCAGGACTTTGGACGGGAAAGGCAGGTTCAAAATGAGACAGTAACTTGCAGGGATGGTGAGGTTGAAACATGAATATGGCAGGTTTAAAAAAAAGGGACAGTGCCAGCAAGAGAATTGTTAACAAATGCAGCAAATAGAGATAATCAGTGGTCAGACATTTCATGGAAATAGGGCCGTTGGAACAGGAAGTGAGACTTTTGGGACAAGGTGAGCTCTAACATGGCATGTTAGGAAATGGAGACAAAGTGAAGACAAGTAAACGTCCAGGGCTCAGACATGGAAAAAAAAAAAAAAAACTTTTGAAGCAGCTTGTCCCAGTGAGCGAATGGGAGAGAGGGAAACAGGACAGCGATCTGATCAGATTTTCTCCATCTTACTGACAAAGGAGCTCCATGTGTTCCTTGTACTGATTGTTGGAGATGAGGATCGAGGAGGCAGGAGGGAGGGAGAGCCCTTTAAAAATAACAAACTTGTGTTCAATACTAAAAAAGATTCACCACAATGTGTAATTGATACGTACCTGATTTATTTGACACCCAGAACACTAACACCTTTAACTTGGTTGGACTTTATTAATATCAACAGAATCAGAGCCTGATATACATGGATCAGTTCTGGATGTGATTACAGGACAATCCCAACACCAGAACTACTTGTGATATCGCTGGTGTCTCACCAGATGGGATGAATTAGCAAATTTCTTCTCACACTTGGAGCAGGCATATGGTCTCTCCCCAGTGTGAACTTGCTGGTGTGACTGAAGATGAGATGATTGAGTGAACTTCTTCTGACACATGAACCATGTAAACGGCTTCTCTCCAGTGCGCGTGCATTGATGTAGAGTGAGTTCGGAAGAATGTTTGAACCTCGTCTCACAGTGAGAGCACTTGAATGGTCTCTCATCTGTATGACCACTTCGACGGTGTGTCAGTTCCCTGGAGCTTTTGTAGTACTTCCTACATTCTACACATTTAAAAGGTCTCTCAGAAGTATGAACCTGCTTCTGTCTCAAATTAGTAAAGTCCTTCTCACAAACATAGCAAGTGAACGGCCTCTCCCCAGTGCAAACTCGCTGGTGTTGCAGTAAGTGCGCTGACCGAGTGAAGCCCTTCTCACACATGGAGCACAGGAACAGCCTCTCCCCAGTGTGACGGCACTGATGAGTTTCCAGCTCACAGGGGAAATTAAATGCCCTCCCACAGTCCCCACATTTACACCGCTTCTCCCTGTCATGACTGCGCATGTGTTTAGAAAGGCCAGATGTTTGGCTGAAGCTACCACACACATAACACGTGTACGGTTTCTTCCCACTCTGAGAGGTGTTTTCTTCTTCCATGGTCAAAATCCAATGATATTCTGGTTACAATAAATTGAGTAATTTGTCAAATGTTGGTGAGATGTTTGGTTTAAATTTACCAACTGCAAATCTTCACCCTTGAATACACTATAAAATTGATTTAAACAGAAAGAGTGAATGAGAACCCACAAAAACATAAAGGCAGTATGTGAATTTGAAATGAATGAAACTGGTGATTTGTGGGGAATAATCATGCCTGCACCTACTGTCAAGCCATGTATAGTTTTGTTGCAGTTCTCCCAGCAACCTCATGAGTCTTTCCTTGTCTCGTATCGAGCAGCAATTACTCATTCAAATCCCATATTCAACACTCCGGTTGGTTAAACTGAATTATAACCAGAAAACTTGCTGATGAAAAAATGAAGCAAGGCCTGGGGTGAGTCTCTGAAAGCCTTGTTATAAATCAATCCAAAAGCATTTCTTCGCCCTGGAAGATAAATGTAAATTGATACTGCTCCAGATTAAAGGAATTCAACAAAATCTGTCGGATGTGTTTATTGGATAGATATAGAAACCATTTCCTCCAGTGAGGGAATTGAGAACAAGGGGACATTATTTGGAGATGATGTGAAATCTTCATACAAACAATTCTTCATACAAAGGATAGCAAAAATTGGGAACGAAAACAGAACATTTTGGAAAATCTCATAAGTTTGGGCAATATATGTGCAGAAGGAAATAGTTAATGTTGCAGGTATGTGAATTTTTATCAGAACTGGGAAACATAAGAAATGTAATAGGATTTGATTCAGGTTTGGGTTAGACTAGTACAAAAAGATGGTCTGTGACAAGGGAGAAGACAGTAAAGATTAAATGACAGAAATGTTCTTCCCTCAAGGTCACAGACAATGGAGATGGAGCTGGAAAAGAAACAAAGTAACTAAAAATGTGCCTGAAGCAGGTGAGCAGCTGACAAAGAAACAAACTGAAACAAGAGAAATGAAAACAAAATCGGGGGCAGAGTTCACAGTCTGAAAATGTTGGTCTCAGTGGTGAGTCCAGAAAATTTTAAAATGCCGAATTGAAAGATGTGGCACTTTCTTGAAGCTTACATTTAGCATCACTGCAGTGAGTGGAGGTCAGAAATGTCAGTGTGAGAGCAATGTGGAGAATTAGAAATGTAAAATCCCCTGTGATATATCAGAATTCATGTCTATTAACAACGTTTTCTGTAAGTCCATAAATCATGTCTATTAATCTATTAACCCATTAATTGATGGTTGTAATAATAACTACAGACTTCTGTGTCCCAGCCACCACAACCGCAACCCCCGCCCCCCCCCCCCGCCACCATTCAAACTAATCCAGGGGCTCGCTACCATAACTGGCTGTCCAATAGAAGACAGAGGGTGGTAGTAGATTGAAAGTATTCAGCCTGGAGCTCGATGACCAGTGGTATTCCGCAGGAATCTGTTCTGGGGCCTCTCCTCTTTGTGATCTTTATAAATGACTTGGATGAAGAAGTGGAAGGATGGGTTAGTAAGTTTATTGATGACACGAAGGTTGGTGGAGTTGTGGATAGTGTGGAGGGCTGTTGTAAGTTGCAACGGGATATTGACAGGATGAAGAACTGGGCAAAGAAGTGGCAGAGATAGTAGGAACTGCAGATGCTGGAGAATCCGAGATAACAAAGTGTAGAGCTGGATGAACACAGCAGGCCAAGCAGCATCAGAGGAGCAGGAAAGCTGACGTTTC